CTGCCCAGTCGACTGTTTGTACGAATAAATAAACATTCGGGAAAATTAAAGAGGGCGATGAAAAAGGGTCCACGCGACCTCTGAGGAGATGCCAATTTTTTCCCTTAAAGACGTATTTATTGGCTCACCCGCCCTCTTCGATTTATTGCCTCACTCCATCGCTGGTGTGGAGACGACAATTATTTAATCGTAATGTAACCTACATTAATATTTTCTGGTTGATTTTGATCACGATGAACAACTTTTAAATATTTTAACAATAACTGAGTGTAACCTTTGGGTGTTGTGGTGGCGGGAGGAGGCTAAATAAATATTGATCAATAATCTCATATCTTACACACTGCACAGAGGGCACTGAAGCAAGAGATGGCAATTGAAGTACGCTTATTAAAATAAACAAATTTTTTAATTATACCACTTTTTATAATATTTATATTATAACAAGTGATATAATTAAAAATTAAAAAATTTCTACACCCGACGTCATTATAAATAAAATGAGAACATCATCAATGTAGTCGAAGTCAATTAAATACGCATTATTAAGGATAACTCAAAAACTACTGGTTAGATCTTGATCAAATTTATATGGGACCACATGGGAAGTCCCAGCTTTCAAAAAAAAGACAATCATCAAAATCGGTTCACCAAGAAAAAAGTTCCGAGCCAACACGCATAAAAAACACAGTCGCATTGAGTACCTCCTCCTTTTTTGTAGTGGGTTAAAATATGGCGTATTTTGAAAATATGTTTTAAAACAAAACACTGATTGTAGCTGAGATTACAATGAGCGTGGTGAAGTGGAGTACCCGCAACGAGAACCGTCATCTGATGAAAAATATTTTGGTAGAAAGAAACGCATTTTTTTTTGTTCCTACTACCTCACCATGGCTGTCTAAACCTTTTAGGTACTAGTTTTAATTTTTACGCAATCTTACACACTTACACACTCCTTCAGTAATTTTACTAAATTGAACCTTGGGTTAAATTTAATAAAATTACTGTACCCAGCATCTTGATGCATGCAAGTCGTGGGGCTGAAAGGACACATCATTCATATATAACATATTTACACTGATTAATCAGTTATTAGTTAACTATTGTGCTCATTTTTTGATCGTCATCTCGAGGGTGATAGCTGAAAATCAGTTTTTGGTCTCTGAGCAATATTAATCGCTGAGCTAGGACCCATTTGTCAAACTGCAACACACATGTACACATTTAGATTTTAAGTTTTTGTAAATTTACTTTTTTGTAATACGTTACTTTGTACTTAATTTAGTCACTGAATTTACGTGTGTGATTGGAGAAACAAATAAATGCTTTATCTATCTTATCTATCTATCTTTCAAGCTCAAAGACAAGAAGTAGTATGTTTATTTCACTCTCCTTTAGCGCATAACTCCTTATGTAAAAGCCCTCCCGTTTAGAGCATCTGGATAAGATGCGGTAATAACTTTACATTTCTTATTACTTTAGAACTACTAGTTGAAGTACATTATTATTAAATACTAGCTGTTCCCCGCCACTTCACCCGCATGGAATTTATTACGATTGGATTTCCTGCGTTTTCATTTCCTTGCGTGGCACCCTAATTATTTTTATAAAATATAAGTAGCCTAAGTTACTCCTTATAAAATCAGCTATCTGAAAATCCAGTCCAGTCCAATCAAAATCGGTCCAGCCGTTTGGGAGATTACCCGGAATAAACAGACAAAAATTATCTAAATTGTAATTTTCATATAAGTACCGTAGGTATATGCTTTCATATTTATTTAGTAAAAAGCTGATATTTTGACATTACAAAGAGATACTGACTTTTACTTACACTGATTCTAACTTACTTTTACACTGATTCCCATCCCATGGTGGTATAGGGATACACACACACACACACACACACACACACACACACACACACACGCACGCACACACGCACGCACGCACGCACGCGCGCACGCACACGCACACGCACACGCACACGCACACGCACACGCACACGCACACGCACACGCACACGCACACGCACACGCACACGCACACGCACACGCACACGCACACGCACACGCACACGCACACGCACACGCACACGCACACGCACACGCACACGCACACGCACACGCACACGCACACGCACACGCACACGCACACGCACACGCACACGCACACGCACACGCACACGCACACGCACACGCACACGCACACGCACACACACACGCACACACACACACACACACACACACACACACGCACGCACGCACGCACGCACGCACGCACGCACGCACGCACACACACACACACACACGCACGCACACACACACACACACACACACACACACACACTAGTAAAGTTTATTTAGCTTAGCTTAACTTTCTTTTTTGTAATAAACTTCTTCTTTATTAATTATGTAAGTACTTTTAACTCTTCAAAACTGTAAAATGGATTGAAGAGCGAGTCATCCCAAATACGAGTATGTAAATTACTCTCTGGGGCGTCTCAAAACCATGTATAATTAATTTTTGAGAAATAAAAGTATTTAGTATTATTATTATGTGGTATCTATAAAGTTTTCTCATCTGGTTGGGAAATATAAATATATATTTGTAAATAATCATGGTAAACGTACATAAGTATCAATAAAATAAGATAAATACATAAATATGTAAAAACCCAACCGGATGGAAGCCCTCGGCAGGGGAGACCAAACGGCCGAGGGTTAGGGGGAAAGGGAAAGAAACCGGCGGACGATGCGGGCGGTATCGAGGAGCACCGCCTTCTGCATTTGAACATGGAGCGGTCCGTAACGGAGTCCCAGTCGCCTCAGATGACCCGAGAGGCTGACTGGAATTAACCCATTCGCAGAGACGACTACAGGTATAATTTCGGCCGGCAGTCCACCCCACAAGTCGGTCACCTCGCGAGCCAGGTCCAGATATTTTGTCAGCTTATCTGTTCGGCTTTCACGAGGTTCTCGTCATAAGGAATGGTAATGTCGACCAAAAATATCCTTGACTGTGCCCGGTCCATCAGCACAATATCAGGCTTATTCGCAAGAATAGTCCTGTCTGTGATGATGGCCCGGTCCCAGTAGGGCCTGGCGCGGTCATTTTCGAGTACGGTTTCTGGCAAGTACTTATAATACGGCAGTTTCCGATCCACGAGACCGTATTTCAGAGCGAGCTCCTGGTGTAGAATCCTGGCTACTAAGTTATGCCTGTGCAAATACTCAGAGCTAGAAAGCGCCGAAGAACCAGAGATGACATGCCTAAGTGACTCACCGGGATGGCGACAAGCTCGACAGACGTCGACGGTGTTATTATTATTATTATATACTTCAATTTCATTTATTTGAATAGATTTGCAGGAGTCTGCTCGACTAAATTACTGATGACAACACAAATTAATAAAAAAAAACTGCAATTGCCAACCAAACTGTCAAGCGTGGTAACTATGCCAAAATTCCGTCTATGAGGCAATCTACACTAGGGGCCTATGTTCATCAGTGAACTTTGTATAGGCAGTATCAGTAACGGAATCTCTTATGTTGCACAACCCATGTGCTACAAAATGACCCATAACAAATTTAATAGATGATAGTGACATGCTGCAGCTATATTATGGTTGTAGCGCGAATGGGTCAGCGCGCAACACACATAGTAGGGAAGATTTGTCGTAATCTCAACGTATGGCAGGATACAGATTTTCTTTCAAAAAAAGTTCCGCTGGGTTTCTTGCTGGTTCTTCCCAGGACAGAGGATTTTTTCCGAAGCACTGGTAAATTAAACAAAAGAGTGACTTCCAATAAGTATTATTTATAATTATATAAAAAAAAAGTTTCTATTTTTGTTTCTGTTTCTGTTTATTTTTCTGTTTCTGTTTCTGTGCACCATTAACATTAAAGACGTTGCTTTCTGTCACCGGTCTGGCCATTTTACCTGTGCATTTTACGTCTAGTATAAATACGAGACAGTTATCGCCGGAAACCGGGGACCACGAAATCTTCCGGACATTTGCCTAAGTCGCCTTTTACCTCTTACAACACCCACGGGATAAGATCGGGTTGAAATTTATTCTTGTTAAAATCAACAGTGAACTGGAGCAACAAGCAGTTTCGTTTTATCGTACGGTGAGAAGATTTGATTTTTTATCAAATTTTTACTGAAATGAATATCAAAAACCTAGAAACTGCGTAGAAACTAAATAAATATAATTTAAAATTAAAAATTTTGTAAAGCTGACTATAAGTTATTAAGAATAACTCAAAAACTATTGGTCTGACCTTGATCTAATTCATATGGGACCATCGAGAAGTACCAGCTTTCAAATAAAAAAGAATCATCGAAACCGGTGCACCCAGTAAAATTTTATGAGGTAACACACATAAAAAAACATACAGTCGAATTGAGTACCGTCTCCTTTTTGGAAGTCGGCAGAAAAGAAATTAAACAAACTCAGAAAAAAATTTAAAGTAACAAACATTAACTTTGGCATCGCAATATATTTATGAAAATGTAATGTAGGTATGTATAAGAAAACGTGAATAGCTTTGATGAGAATAAAAGATGTTCATACTTTAAACACTAAGAACAAACATAAGCTTGTAATACCAGTTACTAGACTCCACAGTATAAGTAATTAATTTATGGGGAAATATATATACACTTTCATATAATATACACTTTCACAACAAAATCCCAGAAAATTTTCAAAGTTGTCTATTAACAAGTTTAAAAGTATTATTAAAAAATAATAAAATAAAAAAAATAATAAAACATAAAGAAAAAAAAGAGAAAAAAAAGAAAAGAGGTACTAAAAAGAGTTATTACCCGTACAATAACAAGTAATAGACATAAATGAAAATAAACCCAGGGAATAAGGTCGTCACCATGCTGGTTCTATTTTTTTAATTTCACGCGGTAGCTGTTGACGAGACCCAGAAATCACTGAGTAGATCGCTAGTATTGAATAAAAATTATTCTATGCATAATTTAACACTTACTAGGGTCTTTAACGGCTGTGACGACGAGCTTGAAACCGTTGGCATCCGTGCCCCAGTTGTCGGTGACGTATTTGAGGGTCACGAAGTTGCTGCGCGTAAACAACGCGCCCACCTGCTGCTTGGTGTTGCGGCACGAGAGATCCGCCTGGAACGAACGCAATTATAAAATATGTGGTACAGTAAAGACTGGTGATAATAATGGTGGCAGCTCAAGGGCAAGGCGCAATTTATTACTGTTACAAGCTTGGGGTTCAAGACAATTAAAAACTGCCGATTGAATTACCATAATTGACACTTTAATTACAAAACACTTATTACAATCTAAAACCACACTAATAATTGTACTACTAATCACTTTAGTTCGCAGTTATTTCGCTTCGAAGTATTCTCTTGTATCGCAAATTCAATACTGTCTCGGTCGTGGTCTATACCGGCCTTATATAGGGCCTCAGATAGTTTCCAGAACCTTCTACTGTAGAAACATCTAGTATGTTCGAGTACATATCGGTCTCGAAATTTCTAGAAGTATCTTGACTCTCTTAGTTCTGCTACTCGATACTAGAGGGCGCTAGTGGTAACTAGTGTAACAAGATATTAATAGTGGCGCGTAACATTACGTTGGTCACAGTGTGTGAGCAACTAAAAAAATAAAGGTGCTGGCGGGTGCAACCCGGGTTCGCTCCCGCCAGCACCAATGAAATTGTCAATTGCAATTTTAAGTGCTGATTTACCAAATGCTCAGCGGTGAAGGAAAACAGTGAGGAAAAACGTGGATAACAAATTGTGATATTACAAGGAAATTAAAAAATATTTTTTTAAGATATCGGTATTAGATATAGCTAATGCTTCTTGATAAGTTCAACAAAACAAACAACTGAAATAACCTCGGCATTTGTATGTCTCTCTGAGGCTTTTCCCTAAAGGTTACTGTACAAAATATAGATCGGTGATAATAATATAGGTTAAATATTCTAATTTTCGACGAGCAATTAGGGATGTGTTAATTAAAAGCGCTTCGATTTAAAATTAATTAATTAATTATTAATTTTTTGGTCCTTATTCTTTTCAAAAATGTTGAAAATATGGTTTAGCAAATTGCTTTATTATATTCTAATACGTATTTTGACGGTGAGGTGGGGAAAGAGGGCTGGTTTCACTGAAACCTAACTGTATATAGCACTAATTTATATATATTTATTTTCAAGCTAGTAAAAAAAAATAGTAGATTTAAAAAAAAACTGGCAGCATAATTAAAATGACGTTTCTTACGTCGAAAATATTTATATTTCCTATCATTACTACTAGAAAACTATATAACTATCTATATTCTAGGTATATCTGTTTGTATAATTTAAATTCAATTTACATTTACCTATAAAATTATATTCACTTAGAATAGCCGAGTTAAAAACTCATGCTAAAGATCAAATCTTCACTGTACATCAGATTAATGTAAATAATATCTGGGCTGGCAGACTTTGTTCTGCTTTCTGGCTGGTGATAAGTTCTATTTTTACACACACACACACTTTCCTATAGACTTATTACACGTAGCTGTAGCGAAATCCTTTTTATGACTCGTAGAACCATCAGCAGCCATTATAACAAGAAACTTAAAAAAAAAAAACTTATTTTTTACTCTTCTGTGAGTGGATCAAAAACTGTCTATAATGTTATTCACGATAATTTATTGTCTATATACTAAAGTTCATGGAAATGCGTCCAGTAATTTTAGCGTGAATCGTGAACACAATTTTTCTACACATTTTTTACATGTATATAATAAGTTGTGTCTAATTCCATAAAAACCACAACCACATATAAACGATCGCTAAAATTCAAATTAAAGTTACCAAATACGAGTACCTTCTACATTCTATTTATAGACAATTAATTTAACACCTAAATGGACGTTTGTCATGTTCAATTAACGTATCTTAGTGAGTAAAGACGAAAAGACAGTCAGCAAGTAACAGATAGGCAAACGCATTGTTAATTAAACAGAAACAATTGCCGCTTGGAGGGAGCTAAAGACAGCATTTAGTTAAATTCTCAAAGACCTTTCTCTTGTTTTGTCGACTTCCTAATGAAATAGCTATGCTCTAATTCTAATATTGTTGAGCTACACACACTTTAGCGTACAGCCGTCAGCACTCCAGCCTGTGCGTCACACTTCCCCACGTTTCTTAATTAACAAATGAATTCATATGCCTCACTAAGCGTACACACGTATGTATTTCTTTGTTTTTATTTTAATATATATTAAGTTTCATAAAGATGAATTGTTTTTCCGTTAAAAGGAACAGGTTTTGAAAATAAAAGTTTATTTAATCATCTTTCATTAACAAATTTGTGACAAATATTGGAGACAATAACGGAAAGAGTACAAATAACTGTTTCATTTACTATTAAAGTTAAACAAATAGTTTGAAAGTATCTTTACTTAAAACTTATGAGACAACTAGCTGGCCAGGCAAACGTTGTTCTGCCCTTTCCAACGACCATTAGTCCTTGCAAAAAAAAAACCTTAAATTCGCTATAAATATAGTACGTGAGGGTAATATGGTCATCCGGTTAATATGGTCACTTTTTTATAACTCGATAACTACAGCCTTATTTGCATAGATGGCTTTAGGATACGGTAGCTCTTCATCAGTCAGTCATTCAAATAATAAAGCGTTAAAAGTGCGACGGTTTATCGACGCTATTTTGACAGTTGATATTGTAGTAAATATTTTAGCCGTTTTTAGTATTGGGTAGTGTAGTTAGTTTTCTTTAAGTTGATTTTTCGAAGTGTTTCTAATTATTATTGCCAAGGCTTGTTTGCTATTTTTTTCTTAATATATTAGTTACAGTATACGACAGTGTGTTTTTGTCTCTGTCCTCCTCCTAGTTTTGGTTTTATAGGGCGGCAAAGTTTAAGGTGACCATATTACCCTTATGTACCGTATTGTTATTATACATTGAGTGTAAATATTATCGAGATAGAAACCATCCTCTCTATATTTCTTAAGTTGGAGTAAGCAATAAACATTTACGAGATACAATAACAAAAGTGTGATACGGGATTTTTTATAAAAGATAAAGTTATTAAATTATTGTATTGTCATACGAGTGCATATTTTCAAGACAATCGTTGTGACGAGTTGGTGAAAATTATATTAACAGATTTTGTTACATAGATAAATAGATAGATACACGCGAAGTTAATAAAAGTATATTAATAGATACAAAACTATAAATACATTTAAAATTAGTCTAAATAAAGTAAGTTTGAAAAGAGCTTCAATATAAAACCGATTAAAACACAATCTCGCAGTTCATAACGACATCTAATACTGTAGGACATGCAGGTCGATCGCTAAGCGCTCAGGCGTCAGCAATATTTTCTTCATCGAACGGAGCTTACTGAACGATAGCTATGTTATATCGTTCTCATTTTTCAGCGGGAGGGACGGGCTCAACGTGACAGCCCGTGCTCCGTGGGAACATTCCACCTATACATTACCCGTATCTCAAGTTCTCCCTCGGTGGGGTTTTGCATCAAAGGCGTGCACCGGACTTTTGCAGTTCTTATTCTAGTCCTTTATGTAAAGTTTAATAAAGGACGGGCGCGGGTTGATATTAAAATTCCTCTCTATAAAATTTCTCAGATCACAGATAGCGTCGGTATGCTTAGCGGACGCTTCAGAGACCGTCCTAAGCGTATTGAATACGAATTTAATTTAATGATGTAGAGACCGAATACAATGCTTTTAAAAGAATGGATATTGGAAAATGGGAAATTTGAACTGACATTATACGAGTCCTATGGTAAACAGTTCCTATTATGAAGGAGTGTTTTCAACCGAGAGGAGATGGGGACGTCCCTTATCTGCGAATAATTTACTGAGTCGTGAGGTTTAAATCCTCTGAATTGATGAAGAAAAAAATTAATAATTTTTTAATACATTTTCCTTTATGGGTCTACTGGAAGATATTTCAGTAACTTATGGATATGTAAAACCTTTGTAGGAACTCACTGTATGATTGTTCCTGTTCCTTGTTGTGTATACATCAATAAATAAAAAATATATAAAAATAATTACGAGTTCTGAACGAATTATACTTATATCTATGCTTGTGATACTTCATCAAATTCCATATATCATATTATGACGTAATTAAACATCGCCATTGGAGCAAAGGATTTCCTTCTAATAGCGGGTTAATACGAAGCTATTTATCATCGGCCTTATACATAAAACTGGTCAAGTGGGTGTCGGGTCACGCACAATGTAGAGGGTTCCGTATTTGCTCGTTACAATAAGTGCACTTAGAAGGCGCCTTCTACCGACCGCAATAACGACTAAAAATGTACATAAAATAATAAATAAATAAATAAATAAAAATTCCTTTATTTTCAAAAGTCTTATAACAAAGATTTGTTGAGTTTTCCCTTTAAGTAGTCATATTCCCTTACGGTATCCTCAATAAGACTATTAAACTATATTATATCTAGAAGCTTAGAATGATAGAAATGTGGGTTAGTTATTGTGTATATAATTTATAGTGTGTGTGTGTGTGTGTGTGTGTGTGTGTGTGTGTGTGCGTGTGTGTGTGTGTGTGTGTGTGTGTGTGTTTATGTGTACGTGTGTATGTCGGTCACCTGTACATCACGTACATTAACGTGGTTGTGTAACGCTGTAGCTATTTTATACTTGTAGCACGAACGGATTGGCTCGACCGGGGTAGAACCACGCTTCACTGAATACCAGCGTAAAATATCAGCTTAACGCTGCTGTGTTTCGTATGGTGAGTGTGGAGAACCGGAGACCCTTTTTACCGAAAACGAGACATTCCATCTTAGTTTATAAGGATGACAACACATCTGAATTATTTAGATTCATATTTGAGGATAGATGTAGATGTCTATGAGCCACAGCATCCACTTACCATCAGGTGGACTGTGTGCTCGTTTGTCACTACTATTCTACAAAAAAACTGATAATAGAATAATATGCCAAATATCTAGGAACAAAATCACGGGGTAATAAAAAATAATAATAATATGATAATGATTATTACATCTTTATTACGCAGTATAGGAGTATATTTATACTGAAGAAGAAACGAGCCCGCGGCTCACCTGATGGTTAGTGTCGA